ATGGAAAGCCAGCTAAATGGATGCAAGAATGGAATCCAGATAAATGGGGATTGATTTGATGAATGGATGGATAGATTATTAGAAAATAGGACAGGATGTAAAGATAAATAGATGCATAGATTGATGCATGGATAACAAATTAATATTATACATGACCTATCAACAAATATAACTTACCCTTTCAAAGCAGTTTCTAACAGCAGGTTCTACACTGGTCCCACAGAAAACTGCATTTTCAGAAATATTTTTTGGAATCTAAAACCAAAAAAACAAAATATTCAATAAACCTTATTATCTCGACACCCATCAATATACACTCAATAGTAGCCTAAAATACTAAAGATTTCTTCAATCGAATCAGATAAATTCTGTACCTGCAAAGCTTCTTGCAGAAAAAGCTTCAGACATTTCCTATCCATGACACCATTGCTGTTACACAATTGCCTAAAAATATCTTAAGCAAACCAACAAAGTTAAACTTATACTGTTTTTCTTTGCATGCAAAATCATGTGTTCACCCATAAGATGATCAGATGATCAGTGACCTGAAGGTTCGCTGACTCATTCTTTTTTTTCCTTTTCCCATTTGCAAACTGTAGCACTGCAATTATTGCTCACCCATTATTTGATTTTTTTTGGCTCTACAAATTCTAGATTGGTTATTGGATTGATAATTTTTTTGTGAGGGCGAGGGGTGGGTCTGCAAATCCTTGGAACATTTATACCACTCCTCAAGATGGCTGTTAGTTCAGACATTCCCTGTGAGCCCATCCTGCAATGTAATGAAGTTTTGCCATAATGACTTACATTTATACTTGTCCTGCAAGTTTGCTGCACACATAAAGGAGAGTCCAACCTTAAGAGAAATAGTTTGTACAAATCCTGTTCGTCCCCTAAAACGATCAATATTCAATATTTTAAATCATATTTAGATATTTCAAAATAGTATTTTTGACAAGTGGAAATATTGCAATATGCAACATGCACATTAAATATAAAATCAACTACAATAAAATGGCTTTTGATGCCTTTGAAAGCATTGTATCACTTCTCCATCCATTTTTTGATATATGTAGTTCCAAAAATTAACCATGGAGGAATTTGGAATTTCCGAGGGATGGGAGGGTAAGAGAAACAAAGAAAGAAAGAAATTATAGAGTTTGTATGGAAGAAAAATGGAATTTTGAGGGGTAGYGGGTCTTATTTTCTTTTTGCATTGGTGAGGTATGCATAATTTCTGAAAAACTACACAATGTGTTGTCATTCAAGTTACGCTCTCCTCTAACAAGAGAGTAGAAGGGGTATTGCATAACAACATTAAAAATAACTGCTGGGGAYAGAGACTATTAAAAGCACTGTGACTGATAAATAATCTTACGGATCAAAGACATTGAGTATCCAGTTAAAAGTGAGATCACTAGCCAAGGGGATGTTGATRAAGTCCTGTCTGTCACCATTTTGACTGATAAAAATTGTAGAAATAATTTCCTGTACATCTGCAGCYGTGAGAGGATTTTCTGTATAGCCATCTCTAATGTCTTCAGCTTGTAAAGATGATATTATAACTGGAAGCTCTAACAGATACACTGCGAAGAAAAGAACAGTTGACTTCATTCATCTTGATGCAATGTTTTGATTCCCATTACAGAGCATTTCTTTGTTTAATGATTGTGCACGAAAAAAAGAATATTTTTATGGATTCTTAACTCAAACAAAAAATCTTATAAGCCTGAAGCGAGATGACGTTTTACCCCCGACTCGACTATACCATTGATAATAATTTTTAAAATTCTTTCATATTAAGATTTTTGATTCCTTAGAGAATACAGGAACAATACAAGTCATAATTAAAGAACAAAAGCAATGTTAAAAGGATTATGGTCTAGAGACGGGGGTAAAACGTCATCTCRCTTCAGGCTTATTATCAAGAGAATCAAACATGGTTTAAAATTTAAAAAAACATTTAGCACAAGGTAAAAAAGTCTCAGACACTAGGTTTGAAATCTTAGTTCATATTACGTGACATTGGCAGAGGCCTTGCTTAATTAGGGGTATGGTGTTAGATAACGAGGTAATTAAGGACAATTAAAGCACTGCCAGGTGCCTCATTATAACTTTTAACCTCAAAGTACTTGCTGGGTAATAATGTAAAGTTGCTGCAGTCTAGCTCCTAGATAAATGTGCCCTTTAATCTCGTAGCCAATTATAATATCATAAACAGGCAGGTCAACACAGAATTATTGATAAATTCAAAACACTGCTCTCCTGGAAAAATTCAATTTGCTATCTGGAGTTATGCTGTAGGTCTAATTAAAGTCTTATATTATTAACCATTATTTATGTTCATCACATACTCTGTGTCTTCTTTTGTATGGCTCTCAATTTCATTGCTGTACGATATGCTGCATATTTGATGTTGTTCAGTGCAGCTGAAACCAATACACAAATTTATAATAGTTATTATATTGTATAAATATAACTTCAATAATTATTGATCTTTATTGGTGGCATGAGTGGCATGCTATGACACTTTCTCCTACTGCTGTGCAGTTCAGGCYTGGGGTCATGGGTTTTGATCCTAAGCTGAGCCACATAGTTTGTTATCAGTGGTTGAATTTCTTTAATGTTTTGTTCTTTCCCTTGTCACAAGAGTTAATTTCTACCGCTTCTCTATTTTTTCTCCCTCCTTAAAAATCAACATGTTATTTGAGGCGTTGTGTGACGTAAATAATGAATGTAGTGCTAGAGTGCGAGGAGTGAACCTCACCCCCCATACAATCTCAAGTAAGGAAGGATTAGCAGAAGAGGTTGGAATGCAACTATAATTTCAGTAACCAGATCTATAATTCAGAATAATATTTAAACCTTAATGATACTAAATGCAACTATAATAATGTACCTCTGCTTCACAGAACCCAAGTTTAAAACAGAGCTTCCCCTAGGCTGTATGTGTATTCTTTGACCCTACATAGTTTAGACTACTATTTAATGATAAGAAGCTAAAAAAATTTCTTTCTTGTGATAGCTTGAGGGATGATATTGAGGAATTGCCTTTAGGCAATTTATAATGTATCTCTGTCTCCCACTTTGCTAGATTCTCTCCTGGCATGCTATAGATATGTTTTGGACCCTGTGTACTCCCTATCCAAGGATAAAAATATATGAGTTTTTCTCTTTTGTGATAGCTGGAGGGATGAATCCTTCTTAAAAAGAACATGAAAATACAAAAGAAATTATACTTTTTCTCAATGGAATTTGTGGCATTTCATTTTGCATATTAATATATTCATGTTAGAATCACATTCAAGGCAGCTTTGAGAAGGGTACATTGCAAGACTTTAGGCAATCTATAATGTATTAATGCCTTCAACTTAGAGACCCCCCTAGGCTATAGATACATTTTTGACCCTACAGTAAAGAGAGATTATGATTTTAAAAAATTGGGATGGGGATTAGCAAAACATTGTCATTCATAGACATATTTTTACTTATCATATAAATACCAATGAAATATCTATTTTTCTCTATTTCGAAAAAATTGATATCTTCACACCTGAAAATAACATGTTATTTTTCACGTGTGAAAATAACACCATTTGCGATGGCTATTCAAAAATACACGGAAAGAATTACCTGAAAAAGCCAAAACATATTTCATTAAATAATTATATAATAAACAGAATATTACATGGCTGCTTGGAGATAGGAATTTTATCTTCTCATGTTGAAAATCTCACACTTGTTCCCTACCCTCACTCGAAGATAAAATTYGTATCTCCACTCTCCCATGTAATATCCTTTTTATAGCACTCATGCATGCCATAGGGCTAAATAATACATATTTTCTCCAGGAAAAGAAAATGCCTTGGCATGCCAAAATATTGCATTATTCCAGCCCTATGACACATCTGCTGTAGAACCCTTAATTTATTTATTTTTCTTCAACTCTTTATTAATAATTATTACCTATATCCTGGTTGAGTTTCACCATTTCTGGATGATCCCAATGAGTGCATTCTGTCTCATGGCTGTAGATAAAGGCAGCCGATATAAATAGTTACTAAATTAATCATTTAAAAGGAGACTTCAAGCTAATTAACCTGGCTGACATCCAACATCAACACAAGCACTTTTAAGGATTAGTTTACCAATATAAATGCTTTCTTTGAACTTGTGAACTCATAAAATTTTACTTTATATCATAACTGCAGCTTTTGTATTTCAATTCTAAACTTATAGCTCTTTCTAAGCCATTTAAAAAAGCTGTTGGAGTAATTTAGGTACATATAATGGCGAATTAAAATTTTTCAACAGCGATAGTTAACAAACAGATAGATGTYATCTCCTTCAGTTATAGTATATTATTATTTTATCGCTATTATGAAGGGAGTGTAATGCCGGTAAACTTACTTTATGTAGTAAGGGATACCGCTCGACGTTTCTGAACGCTCCCATCCCTCTGGTAGTTTACCTGACATAGTAAAAAAACAAAAAATTAGGCCGAAAATCGGAAAAAAATAAACAAAAAATAAAGCTTAGTTTTACAGCTTTGAGCGCGACACAAAGATTCTGTCATCATTCAATGCACGACTATCACTCGAAAGCGCCTACAAAACGATACAAAAAACGATGACACAACTCACTTGTAATGCCAGGCATGTTGTAGCTTATTTATACAGCCATTAAGCAGTCAAAATAGGAAGCAAAAAGCTGTGTTTACCAAACGAAAATTCACTGCTTGCTCTTCGAAATTTAGCAGCGTGAAATTGTTTACGCTACCGCTGTTGCTACCAGTAAGCGGTTAACCACGGGAATGGCATCCTAACACAGGAAGCCCACCGTAGAATGTCTCTCGTACGATAAAGGTTTTTCAAAAGTGGAGAAGTAATAATRAAAAATAAGCCTACATTGCATAATTATTTTATTTTATTACTAAAATGTGTGCAATTGGTTTTTTAAATGYTTTTTTCCTAACAATAATATTTCCTCCCTATGATTACTAATAGCAGAAAAAATAATAAAGCGCTTGTTAATATTGTTGAGGTAATATGAATGGAACACTTAAATTTTTTAAAAGAGCTATATTTTTACCGTAGTTTTTCATTTTTCGTACATTTTTTTAAATATTCCCAAAGCCTAAGTTTGGGCTTCCTTTGTCAAAACCAACATAACCACAGGATGCCCAATTCACACAGAACACACATCCAAGATGGCTGTCACAACTTTCGTAAATAGAGCTGAAGTTTGGCTTGCTAATTCTAGTTTTAGGAGCTCTTTTCAGCTCCCAGAGCACTTYCATCCAAGCTTATTTTTAAAATGGTTCCCTGGTCATATGGCAAAAGGTAATCCTTGTCTTAAAACCAAAAATTACAGCCGATTAAATAAACTAACTTTGTTATTTTTCCATAAGGTTTGAGAGTAATGCAGTCCTTAGTAAGAAAATGTGACTGTGTACTTGAAATCCACGACTCTAGAATATCCTTTTTTATGAACTTAACAACGTATTTAAACATCTATGAATGATTTCATGCATTTTAAATTCATTATGAATTTAACACATTTTTATCTGTATATGGTTGAACGTTTCTTAACCAGCTGCTGACATACCTTTTTCTGGGAGAAATCCTAAATTTAAAGAAACTTTATCAGGTAGACCAAGTGTGCTCTTATTGAACAAAGTAGATCTCATTAGCGGCATAAACCAGAAGGTATGTCAGTCAGCTTATTATGGGTKCAGAGCTTTTGATAAATGGGATGAAATGTAGCTGTAGTAATTATAGAGTAAATGTTTAAAAATGAAACAGCAAGCTTATCTTTATCATTAGTTCATCATCCCCATCAGTCATTACTATAATTTTCATCATCGAGACAATAATGACYAAATCATCACAATCATATCATCAATCATCAGTCATAACCAACAACAGCATCATCATTAGTCATCATCATTGACATCATCATCACCTTGATGAGWCATCATCAAAATCAATCAACACCATTGACACTTTGATCATGAATCATTATCAGCCATTTTTTATAATTTTATGTATATCATCATAACATCATATTGCATCATTATCCAGCACCATCATTACTTTATTACCTTTACCCCCATGGGATTTATTGTATCTAACCGTAACATTTAACATTTTTTAAATAAACAATAAAGGATATTTTAAGAAGATTTGAAGCCAATGGAATCAGAGCTGTGTTTGTTGACAGCAAAGCCCAGTATAGCCACACAATTAAAAAGGTAAGATTTTATACTGATTTTCATTGCTTAGCTTGCATGTCTTTGAAAATATCATGGTTCATAATATATAGCACTATGATCAATTATTGTCATAAAATCCTGGTTATGAAACCTGCCATGATCTTCTACTCATTCATAAGGGTTTTTGTATGAGCTAATATAACTGGGTTGGCTTATTATTCAAGAGGGCTTTTATAATTAAAAGAAAAAGAATTTGAGATGATCTGGAACCCATAACAAACACCATGTTTTTTTTCTCTTGTTTCATCAATGCCAAATCAAGTCCAACCAGTTTGCAAGGTTCCTGAATCAAACTGAAATCTTTGTTTTGTATCTCCTTAACTTATTAATTCATGAAGGTTGTACCAGCAGTTCTAGATGCAATAAAAGATGCTGAATAYGAAGGATCTTATTTAAGAAAGGTTAGAGTGTTTTGATTATTGTGAATGACTTGCACCCTCACTATATTGGTAATATTAAGGTGTCTAACCACTGAGAGAGCCTGATACWCAGGTTATRAGGTGTCAGTAAGTGGTTGGTAAGTGGTAAGTGGTGCCTGATACTCAGTTATAAAGTGTCAGTGTGGGTGGTACAGTAAGTAGTGGGTAAGGTAATGGTTATATGACAGTAAAACATGCTGGTTAGTGGTCAGTAAAGTAACAGTGCAGGGCTTTCAATAATATTTGAAGTAGATGGATGAAACTCAAAAGTACACGTCTGTTTCCACAAATTTTACTTCTTATTTATTAAGACTGATTCGCAAAATAGCCGGCRGTATGAAGGTGAAGTACCCGGCGATAAACCGCCGGTAGCCGCCTTCTATTGAAACCCCTGACAGTGATATGTCGGTATAATGTAATTAAGTGGCTGACCACTTAAAACTACACCTTACCAGGGATGTGGTGCAGGTTGATCCCAATAGTCAAGTGTCTCTTATTACGCTAGCCCCTTATAATCATAAGTTAGTTGCTCATGATATTTTGATAATTCTCCAAACTGTATGAATGTAGTAATATGTACTCTAATTAACAAGCTAATTTTGTTTATGACATAGAATCCTGATGCACCCTACACGTTAATGGTCTGTGGTCTGCCCAATACAGGAAAGTCATCCCTTATAAATGCACTTAGAAGAACACACATAAAAAAGGGTGCGTCATTCATTTATGATGAAAAGTCTTAAAAGTGAGCTTGTCAGACCCTCTCTTTTCAATGGGTCACTAAGACCCCAAATTGGTACATCATTAGGTTACTATGTAGGCAGGGTAGTGAAACATGAACTCTTTGTACTCAGGAGTGGTAGTAGGAGTGATAGCTGATAGTGGCACCTGCAAGGCAGCTTTTGATACAGCCACTCTTCCCTGCCCCTTAACTATCAGCGTTGCAGTATATGAGAGAAAGCTCGATACTCAGATGTAGGAGATACTTTATCCAATTAAAAATAAAATACAGTCTATGACTCAGACTCTCTTYATTTGATTTTTAACAATTTAAAGGAAAAGGTACAAGAGTAGGTAAGCTTCCTGGAATGACAACTTCTATCCAGGAAAGAATCCTGGTAAGTAACCATTTAAAAACAGGGGTCAGAAAGGTTTACCGATCTCACCTCACAATTAAATCAAATCCTGTCAATTATTTATGGGATGGTGGCAAAAGGCACGTGATGGTCACTCTAATTCAACTAAAGGTGTATGATTAGAATTATACTTGAACTTTTGGAGCTATTCAATAAATGCCCAAATCAATAAAATTGTTAAATACTACTACATAATTAATTTGAAGAAATAGAAAATTTGACATGTGCATGCTGTATTCATGAAAAAGCACTTGTAGGTTCTTGACAGCCAATCCTTAATTTTTGTGTGGACAGGACTAGGAAGTGCATGCATGGTGCTGTGCGCTTTAATTCATAAAGCAGGCACCTCTAGCCAATCAGAAAGCAGCATTTATAAAATTTTATTATGAAAATTATTAATAACTATTAAATAATTGATATCATTATCAACAGGTTAATGATGAACCTAAGATGTACATGTTAGATACTCCAGGTAAAAGACTAATCTAAGAGAAGTGAATACTAAAAAACTGCAAGTGCAGTTTTCGTAYGACTGTGAAAAGCTCAGTGCCGTGCCGTGACCGTGATGTTTTCTAGAATTTTCATTGGCTGATTTTTTTCTCAAGCAATGTGATTGGTCTGAAAGTGCCGTGACTTTGCCRTGACTTTGGCGTGACTGTGTCTGCACCGTGTTTAAATGCCGTGTTCTGRGTATTTGATTGGATGGAGAGTGAATTCTTGAGCAATGTGGTCTGGCATATCCCTAGTCRTGTCAAGAACGTGTTTGTGCCATGAGCTTTTCACAGTCATGCGAAAACTGCTCTATTACCACCTTTAATTAGATATGACGTATTTTTGTTTAACAGGTGTCGTTGCTCCATACGTACCAACAGCAGAAGTAGGAATGAAGTTGGCATTAACAGGTACATTTTTTCCCTTCAACAAATAAAATTGATTGTCAATACAAATATATGATGATTTTCATATGCTAGAGGCTTTGCACCATCACATGATGGCAGCCATGACAGGAGGCACAACAATAGTCTTTTTCCCCTGGGAAAATGAATTCTTTCTTATGTAAACCATATTTGACCATATTCAATTGTTCCTGCCTYCTGTCATGGCTGCCATCACGTGATGGTGTGAGGCCGCTATTGAGTGTATTTATCATTTGATGAGGATTTGTATTTTTTTAGGGTGTTTTAAGGATCATCTTGTGGGCGAAGATCTTATTGCAGATTATATTCTATTTCTTTTAAACAAGAATGGAAACTTTGAGTGAGTGCAATAATCTTTTGGACTATTTTTAAATGGACAATCCACTTCCTTATCCTTTCTAATTTTGTGTAAAATCTACTGCAATCATGTCATTGATAATTGTTTTTATTTATTTTTAGATGTATTAAAATTTTCTATAATAAAATGACAGATTTTAATGTGCAAACTAAGTACTGTTTTCATTTGACTGAATGCCATCATTAGTTAACTTAATTAACTTCATTTGTGTTTCTACAATCTTTTAGATATGTCAAAAAATTTGGTTTAGAAAATCCAACAGATAATATTGACTTTGTTCTGAGGCACATTGCCACTACCTTAAACAGTACAGTTTCAGGTAAGATATTTCAACTAGCTTTTCTCAAGGGGAGGGGGAGGGGGAGATAGCCAGAGGGAACTGATGAAAGTGGAGTCTTATTGCCCCCCTGTCACCCCGAGATACTATGCTATATTCTACCATTAGAAAACAACTGACATGCAATGGTACTAGAAAAACTGACCTTTTTCTTTYTTTCTTTTCTTTTTCTTTCATCTTTCCTTCCTTCCTTTCTTCTTTCTGTTTTTCCCTTTTCTATATTCAGGTGGAGTACCTGACTATTTAAAGGCATCAATTCATCTTTTATCAAGATTCAGACGAGGAGAACTTGGAAGATTTTTACTGGACAAATGACATTTATAATAACTAGTCATTCATCCTTGTTCAGATTGTATATAATAAATAAACAGTAGATGCGACTCAAAATCTATATCATAAAAAAATGTGTGCCCAAAGCAGAGGTCTATTTATCTAAGGATGATTGAACCTTAGCCTGCGTGCCTCCGAACGTTTACTCGTAAAGTCCGTCAGAAAATTCCGGATGCAGTGCAGGCTAATTGAACCTCAACCTTAACTATTTTGCATAATGGCTTTGGAAACAAAGTAAAACTACTATGCTTAAACTTAATATGGAAATATTTTTTAAATGTTTAATACTTATAAGTTATTGCAATTTTGAGCTGCCAATTAATACCGGTTTACACATATTTCAAAAACATTGTCAGTTGAAAATCTGAAATCTGAGACCGAGAAGCACATTTCAAATTGTAGTGTATTCACAGCCGAACATACTTCACATTGCTTTAAGCTTGGACCTATGAAGCATGACCTTTCAGTTAGAAATATGATTTTTCATATTTTAGATAAATTATTTTAGCTAGAAAACAGGACTAGAAAAATTCTGTTTCGTCAAGGGTCACTCATTTCATATTTCAGAACAACATTTTTCGAAATAGGCATATATTAATAGCTACTTAAGAGGGCCAAAGTGACATAAGCCAAAATGGGATATATTTTCATGCATTGCTATCAATATATAGATCTTATTAGACATATTATGGTGGAATACGGGTAGATGTTTTGTCTAGTCTGCTTGCTGTATTTTGTTGAGCCCAGTAGACAAAATGCAAAGATTAGAAAAGATGTCAGCAGAGCTTACTTTTCCCAAAGCGATTTTTGGTTTYGAACTAGTTTTCAAAGCCAATTTTTCAATTTACAAAATAACTTAGAGTACAAATTTCACAGGATATTTTTACTCACTCCAGGCTTTCTCCTGCATTATTTGTACTCTCATATGAATAGTTAGATAACAAAAACCCATATTGGCAGCTCAAAATCACCAAGTTTTGTATTGCGATTCTAATAATAATAGYAAATAATTCTGAGCAGACAGAACAGATTTGTATTAATTTTATATTGCTGGCCCTGACAATAGGGAGTTTTCATATGTCCAAGAAATCAGCATATAGAGATTATCATTGATATTGTTCTTATTCACAAGTTTCCATATATCGCAAACTAGCGAGTCTGCAGGCGAGTGATATCATATGGAAAATGAGTGATAACAATATCAATCTCTTAACATAACATTTGTCTATTATACATTAATTTTTGCGTCGATAAAACAACAAAATTTACAATTTTCAGTGACCATGAAGTGACATCGTATCACTTCACTGATATGGTTTTTACTCACAGCTTTATCACACTGATATCAACCCTAAGAGTGTAATAAATAGTTTTATTATATAGATTTCGATGAAATACCAGGTTTGAATTACCAGCGTTGAAAACTTGATATCTTTCACCAGTGGAAGATACCATGTCTTTCACACATGAAGATATTGCTGTTGACATAGTAACATATTTTCATAAAGAATTTTTGAGCTTTTGTTTTATTTAAGTTTCATCAATATCTATATAATAAACAAAACATTACATGGCCGCTTGGAGATACGAAATTTTATCTTCTCGTGTTCAATTTAGATATCTCACGAGTCAGCGCACAATTGAACACTCGAAGATAAAATTCGTATCTCCGCTCGCCCATGTAATATCCTCTATATACACTTATCCACACTGTTAAACGAATATAAGATACAGTACACAATTGTTTCATCAATTTCTTTTAATATTTGTGTTTAAATGTGCTATCTGTTATCATTTACAGCAATGTTTTTGATATATCTATACATGTGCACAAATGCCAAGGCATAGTTTTAAAATACTACGCTTCAAAGTTTAGTGTTGAAAAAATATAGCTTCTCCCTAATAAGTGAAGTTCCACTAAAATATATAGATATTTTGGTAAATAACCCTATATTAAGGAATACAAAATGCATATGCATGTCTCTGTACTGTGATATAAACACACTGGGGGCTGAGAGCAAGACTCTGAAAAGCAAGCTTAGAAACAAGAGGCATAGCCAAGTGTTTCACTTGCTTTTCGATTGCTCTACAGCTCCCAAAATGTTTATATCACAGTACAAAGGCATTAGCAGGCGTTTTATATATTGCTTTCATAAAACAATTTTGAATTATTTTGAGCGAGAGTGTCTTTGTCCTCTGATATGAACATGGTAGCCAGCCAATCATCGCACCAAAGTAAATATATAAATAGTAAATACAAAGTAAATATATTGCTCTTCTRAATAATTATCTTATCAGCTACAAAATTAGCTAAATATTTTTCATTTTAGCTCTACAATTTTTAGATTATAAATTTTGGATTAGCAAATACATTGTTCCTAATGCAAATCTACTGGGCTAGTAAATGATTTCAAAGTCTTTCGTGCAAGAATAAAATTGTCTTCGTCTACATTTTTGAGTCGCAGAACTCTTGCCAGGCCGACGCTCATCAAATATTCAGAAAAAATTGATAAGTATTAACTACTTTGTACTAAAATTATTCACACACACGATTCTTCAAAAAGGCGAAATAAYTTCACTTTAATTTAATGCAGTTATCTTTCTCCGCTGACGCCGTCCTCACTAATAACAGAAGTAGTTTCGATAGCGCTTTCCCTTCGGCTTAAACTTTTATCATTTGGTATTTCACTTTCATTTTCTTCTTCCTCCTCTTCGATGCTTGAGAAACTAAGCTGCTGTTTTTGTAATTTCTTTTTCCTGGCGATGTTCATCAGCTCTGCTCGCTGGGCAAAAGCAAAGACAATTCTGGTGATGAGTAAATCTACGTGATGTTCTATTTCTTCAAAGGTTTTTTGGTCTTTCTTGGCCATCAGCTTGTTGGTCCACTTCCCTCGGGTCTTGCACTCGTTTATTTGGTGTTCGATCTTGTCGAGTGTCTCCTTCAAGTCACTGTAAAACTCTGCCTGGCGAATAAAGCTCGCATCTGCTCCGTTCAACACTTTGGTGATCTGCTTTACAACTGGAACAAAYTTCATCAGATGTGATTTATTGTGTTTAGAGGCTGCGATCGCCCAGAGAATGCTGTCGACTTTGGCAAAGACGGAGCCAGGGGTGGCAAAGCTCGATTCCACGTCGCCTTGATCTGCCGCCATTGATTTGAAGTTGGATGCTTTTTGGATGAATCTAACGATTGTTTGGTTCTTCATACCCTGTATTTTAACCCTTTAAAATCTTCTTATAAATTTTTGTTTAGTCCTTTGTAATTTCCTTCAGGTCTGTACCGTCAAAGTCRCAAATCTAAGGAGGACGGTTAGCCCTCCTTCGCTTTCTTACTTCAATTTAGCTACCTTCGTCGTGCACTATTTGGAGTAGAAAGCGCATCCAGTCGTTCGAGTTGGAGTGTTTACTGCCATCCAAATCGTCCTCTAGTTCCCCACAAAACAAGTCCACCATTTATGACGTATTTCGGTCCTTCRGAACCTTGGCTTCTTTTCGATAAAAGTACAAGACTATCAAAAACTGAAAATGGAAGGCTCGACTGAGCAAAGTAAGAATAAAGACAACAGCTCGCGCACGTTGGCTTTATATCCACAAGCAACCAATTRAAAGCTCAGGACAATACTCACCAGGGGAGGGGTTGAATTCAAAAAATAMATTTCAAATTTACACTTCAAAAAATCCAAAAAACGCAATAAAAAATAGGGCTACTTCAACAAAACTAMAAATTCAAYAYYAATCTAGAAAAAACMGRGGAAAGTAAAATAAATTTAGCTTTRTATCTTYAYATTTTATTTCGCTTACCAGCAGTWCCCCTAGTGGAGTTGTAATCAACAATGTGGTTAAACCGGTTGGTCAGACGTGACGAAACTCGTTTCTATGTTATAAATATTCATAGAATGTAAATATTTTGAAATCTAAGCCCAAAAATGTCGCAACAGGGTGAAATAGACTTAATTAAGAGTTAAATTTAGGAATTACGCGATCATGAACGCGAACCGGGAATTCTCGAAATTCATTCCAAAGTTGTTTTTCTTTTAGAWATGAAGTCTCTGAAAAGATGAATCGATAAAAATACTTAATTATTTGAGTTTATGTGAATGGAGGTTGATAAAAGTTATGTTTCCCATAAGGATATTTTGGGGATGATTCAATGGAATGTTTAAATGATTGYTACATCATTCATGGAAAAATATTATTTATTGAAGATGTTTGAARCGAATACCATATAAAGTATTTTGGTTATGATTGGTATTATTGAAAGCTATTAACCACACTAATTCTCTTTTTCTAGATCTTCCTGTGCAAGGGAGATTTCCCTGACCAGATTTTGCTGAAAGAATGCTAAAAACGCAAAACTTGGAGGAAAATCTTTAAATTGATAAGCGGAGAGGGAAACCACCCAAGGTGGGAGGGGGGGGGGGTTGGGTACCCCCTTGTAAAAAGGCAGGAATAACAAATATTTATTTTATTTCAACATTATTATTAATATTATTATAGGGCTAAATGTAAATCAAGACCATTCCCAAAGGTTAAATTTATTGTTTTAAACAAGCATGTTTCTATGTTATAAATATTCATAGCATGTAAATATTTTGAAATCTAAGCCCAGAAATGTCACAAGACGGTAAAATAGTCAGACTTAATTACGAGTTAAATTTAGGAATTACACGATCATGAATGCGAACTGGGAAATTTTTGAAATTCATTCCAAAGTTGTTTTTCTTTTAGATATAAAGTCTCTGAAAAGATGAATTGATAAAAATATGTGAGTGTATGTGAAATGAGGTTCCCCCTCAAAGTTACTTACATTTCAGCCCCTAAAAAATGATGATCATCCCACCCTCTTTTGTATAGGAGTATCTCCCTGAAAACTAGTTAGCAACTCTATTCTATCATACTGAAAATTAGATGTAAACTTTTTTATAATAAATTAAAGAGGCTACTTTTTCATTTTATTTATTTCTGCAAGATATCGTTACAAGAATATTAATGCACAAAAAAGCTATAGCAATGATAACAATCAAACATCGCAGCCCACTCTTAAGATTTATCAAGCTATATYATTAAGGAATATTATTAAGCATCGACACTGTTAATCTATTTAAATCAATTAATTACAGGTAAGAGATTTTTATCATGTGGCAGCCATGATTTTAATAACAATAATAATGGGGTGTTCTTATTTGGTGCATTTCACATTGTCTCAWTGCACTTTTCATTTATGGTCAGTGGAGGACTTAATGCATGAGCTGAATATTACAGTCAAAGTAAGAATACCATGAACACCTAAGATATGTCTGGAATGTTAAACAGCATGTTCTGACCAATCGCATGTGAGAATGTTYTAATTATTAACTGTCACATGATTGGTCAGAGCACGAAGTTTACTATTCCAGACAAGTTTTAGGTRTTTATGGTTTTCTTAGTTTGACTGCAAGGTGCTATTAGTAGTTTGAAGTCTTAGTTTATACCTATGTAAACTTATCCAAAAATGTTTCAAAGTGAGCCTAAATGGGAAAAATCTATTGTTCCAGCCACATGAGAAATGTCCATAGCCAACAGTAAAGCATAGCAAGYGTAATAAATTGATAGCAAATACCTAATTCATTTTGTTAATGATGCACAAAAATATTGCTATCATATTATAAGAATTAGCTTTAAATTTTGAAACTATTTAGTAAGAAAATATGCAAAAACAATTATGAAATGTTGCACTGTGCAGCTCACAGAACTAGATCATAGACCTACTGAACGCATGACTGCATCAAATTGATCAATTGAGTACGTACTATTAACAACTGTCACAGAGRAAGATGAATCAAAGTCAGGGCTTGGTTAAATCAAGAATTGAATTGGAATTTAGCTTGTTAGATTTTGCAGGAAAGGAAGACTAGAGAACCCAGAGATAAAACCCTTGAATCGAGGGAGAGACCTAACAACCTTTACTTTAATGTGAAACCTAGTCTGAAATCAAATCTTATATACATCAGAGACTTGTGAAAGGTGAGTGCCAGCGCAGCAAATTCTTAGATTCTGGCCGTTAAATTGGGAGCAGAAAAAATTTGTATTTTTTGATTACTTTATGAATCCACCTATGAAAAAGACCCATAAATGTTTCAGGGAATTTCTTGAAATTGGAAATTAAGCTCTATATGTATTCAACTAGGAACTACGATTTGCTGTTCTGATAAAGCTGCACAAATCCTGCCCTTTTTTTACTCACTAAATCTAGCAAACAACATTCTTACTAACTCTTATTTTCAGTGATAAACAACTAAAGCATTCAAACCTTCAAAACATTATAATAATTAATAATAAAGGTAATTTRATCATTTATTTTAAATTCTCCAATTTGGAGGAAATTGTAAGACAAGTAWTTTTGTGTCATATTTCAGATATGGTATCTTTCTGGGGGAAAAAATAATATCAAGCTCCTCTCTCAATGAGGAAAAGGAGTGAATATYATTAATTTTGCAGCTTTTGTTGAAGATGCTCTTTGGAGAAGAGGACAAAAGGGGTCTATGATCAATCAACCTTAAATAACAAAAAACATGGCGGCCATGTTGGAGGATATAACAAAAGAATTCATTGACAATTCTTTTGTTAAGTTCCTCCAACATGGCCGCCGAAAACCATCAACAGAAATTTATGATGGATACCTCCTGGAACCATTATTTGCATGCAAGTGTGTGTTGACAGGGTGGCACATGGGGAGGTTGGCATCCTGTTTCAAGCTGCCATACACCGAATCAAAATATGGCCACCAATTTGAATAACTATTGTTCTGCACTGACTAGCGACTGACTAGCCTCTCATACACGTGAAAACGCTTTTATGTTTCCACGTGGACACGAGGCTAGTCAGTCGCTAGTCAGGGCAAAGCAATAGTTATTTAAATTGGTCGCCCATATTTCGATTTGGTGTATGGATATTTAGAAAATTCACTCATCGCACACAAATTTTAACTGGATTTTAACTATTCACAAAATCAAATCAATCATTCAGGAATCCCAAAAATTTCAAGAGAAGAATCACACATCAAAGTTATTAACCTGGAATTCATGAAAAAAAAGCATAATCATATTTTTCTATTTTTACATCATACAGTACACACTAATACTTATTTTAGCCTGAATGACACATCGCCTGTAACCCCTGCTTCACCCTGTGTGGAGGAAGGGGATGCCACTGTGCAAAAAAAAAGCAAATTTTGTAAAAGAAAAAACTTATTGTATAGGTCTATAAGTTACTTAATTTTAGATAAGACCTCAATTTTAAATAACCAAAAGGTGCTGAATCATGCCTTAACTATAACGGAAGATAGAGAATAATATTATACTATACTGTACAACTACGAAGTCCACAACAGTGCACACTAAATATYATTTAAATTCAAAATCCTAAATTTTCTGAGTTAAGATTAACTCCCAAAAGAGACTCATCAAGATGAGATTATTATTTTGGGAAAATTTCATATTKTAAATTCCAAAATCACAGTAGAAATCTGCTATCTTGATTTTTACAACATACACTTCCAAAGAGAATATCAATCTATACCTCTTCTGCAGTCATTTGGAAATTTTGTTACAGTGTCCCTGCCTTTGAAAGCGTTTTTTTTTTTTTGGCTTTCTTTTCTGGGGAAGGGAGGTAAATAAGTTTTTAAATTCTATAAATGTGTGGTAAAACAGCTGGCAATGAAGTCTGAAATTTGTGAAAGCTTTCTACTCATCCTTGCAATAACAAAAATCTGCTTTCTACAGATACAGGTAGGTAATATGCACCGATTTGCAATATTGCTTTGCAATATTTCAAACAAAATTTCATGAGAAAAGTCACATTTTTTTACATTTTGAAGTAAAAAATTCAGTCTTGGAAGTAAAACATTCAGCTTTGCATTCTATTCTATGTATTTCATATATTTAATCAGTGGAAAAAGTTCAAGATAGCAGAAATCTACAGTTCCTAATTGAAACAGCAAAGAGTCACATTCTTGTTTGTGGAACCTTTGGTTGACATTTTTGTAGCCTCGACACATGGACGTATATCTTCAGGGCAGGGCCGAGTTTCAATGACATTCCAGTTAATACATCATTTCTTGACATTAATAGCAATGCCTTTCCATCAATTTCCTAAAATTAAAATATATAAATAAGTGTTATATAGTGCTTTGATTGAAAAAACAATAACTTTATTGCTAACAATCTTGAATGGATGCTATTTAATTGCCATGTTTTGAAGTATGTTAATGGAATGTTTTTATACAATAACACCACTCTTAAGGCCAGTTTAGACGGTACGATTTTCACCTACAACTATCATATACAACACGTTTGCGTCTGTTGTTAGCAAGTTGTAGGCTTGATTTACACGCTACGACTCGAGTTGTAGGATGGCACGAGCGTGTCGTATGCAATAGTTGTAGGCAAAAATCGTACCGTCTAAACCGGCCTTTATGAAACCCTGAAACAACCTTTGGGTTGACTTAAATCAGGTAATGCTAACTCACAGATAAAATTGCTAATTTTAGGTTGTTAGGTTTTGCAGGGATATAAAAACCAGACAACCCAGCACATAAAACAACAACATCAAATTACTGGATAGAACTAACAAACTTTACTCACATGTGATGGTAARTCCAGGAATCAAACCTGAGACTTACAAGGTGGAAAGAGAGTGAACTACCACAAACCACATGACCCTTGACTCTAGGCATCAATTTGTACTTCAAAACTCAAAATATTTTAATTTCAAATACTACAATTTTTTTACCTGTTCAGCAAAGTTTTTAGCTTCTTGCGAGAACCCMACTGACTCAAGAAACATGATAACATCAGAGACTGCCCATTTGGAGGCATCAGCKGACATGTTCTTGAGAACAGCATTCGTGTTTGGACCTTTTAACTGAGAACCATCTGATGGGTCTATTAAACCAGAAAGTTACACATATAATCATTTATACCAGAGAAACTGCTGAGAATAGTGAATTATCAATGTACACGTATAATCATTTATACCAGTGAGACTGCTGAGAATAGTGAACTATAAATGTACACATATAATCATTTATACCAGTGAGACTGCTGAGAATAGTGAATTATCAATGTACACATATAATCATTTATTCCAGTGAGACTGCTGAGAATAGTGATCTATCAATGTACACATGTACTCATCACACATGGCACGCACATCTACTCAGCATGTATTAATATGAGAGCAGAACTGGCATAGCTCTCCAATGAATCATGATAGCACAAGGCAGTGGAGGGAGGGAAATAAGAAAACCAAGAAGAGCAACTGCAGGACAGGGGTAGTGCAGCAAGTCCTCTAAAATACTAAAAGTGTGCTGGATTGCTTTTACAACCTTTCAGGTTGAAGCTACATGTACAGTACATAACTAATTTGCTAATCAGTTGATACATACTGTATGTGCAATAGTGAGAATGCTGAAGCCAATAGTCTGAAAAATCCCAAGCCAAGGTAAAAATAACGGCTGGTCCATTGCCAGTCATTACGAAAAAAGTTTTAGCTTGTTCATATCTCATTTTGGCTCAACACTACTTGTTAAAATAATAAGCAAGGCAAAAATTTGACCAGACAAGTCTTAAATTCTGGTTGGATAATGTCTGATAATTGGTTATTATAATAATATTAAAGGCATGTTTACCATTGCTTGCTCCTAATGTTGTAAGGATACCATTTTTGCTTTCAGTTGTAGTACCTGTGGCTATGGAAGAAGTGGCCGCTGTTGAAGAATGGACTAGTAGAGGAGGAGTACGGGGAGGAGTTGTTTGTGAGAGCATCTCCAACTCTCGCTGAACATTCTCAGCATCAACTGGAAAAAAAATTGAGACATAGGATTGACAGTTGAATGTTTGCAAAAACATTACATTATAGACCCCTTTCAGYRCATCGAAATGCAGCTCAMTTAGGAGGACATAACAATAGGTGTCCAATTCTCAGGAGATTTAAATTATTTTGTTTTGTTTTCCTGCCCTAAGACATAGACATGAAACCTCACCCTTCYCCAATAACGTTCTTTTATTAAATGGGAAGCACAAGGGGTGTACCCTCCTGACTGTGGTCAAGGACCTTTGAACCCTGGACTCTCCGTCAAATGTGAATAGAGTTGCTTATTGGTTCCCTAAGTACTGTGCTCCGAGGGCTCCTTTCTACAGTTTCCCTCCCTTGGAAAAATATGATTCCGAAATTTCAAAATTGACATGGAATGAGGGCCACAGGTTTGTTAGCCACTGGCTATTTAGTGCTACCCTTTCTAAACAAGAACAATTTTATTAAATTAAAATATTTTACCCTAAAATCCTGGGTATGACCTCCTCCCCACCCCACCCCTCTCCACCGAACATAAGTTTCCCAGTCATCAGGACAAAAAAAACCCTTAAAAGAGAGTTGGCTAACCTTGGACATGCATATCTTTGACCTCAACTGTACATTCCTCTTCCATCTCTTCATCACCTGAAAGGTTACCAATTTCATTCCCATTGGAATGGCTACTKGTCCCTGCCAAGGAAATATTTCCAGAGTTTCTTCTCTCCACTTTTATTTCAGTGACACCATTTAATTCCTCCAAAGATGCAGGATTTGTTGGGTGGTTTTCACAGTTGTAGCATATCCATTTCCCTGGCATTATCAAAAGAATGTGCAAATAAATGCATAAGAACTGACAACAGGGTAGCATGGGTGGGGTTCGCGGCTAACGTGTTGTCTTTCACCGCTGTGAGTCCAACTGGTGGGGTCGCTGGTTCGGGCCCTGTTGTCGCCACATGTGAATTGAGTTTGTTTGATGTGTTGTTCTCTCCTATGCTAYGAGGGTTTTCTCMRGGTTCTCCGGTTYCCTCCCTCTGTAAAAAGCAACRTGYGAKTTGAGCRTTGTGTGCATAGAATATTGAATGATGTGGTAGTGCATGTAAGCAAGAAGCGTCCCCAATTAGTGTGAAAGTCCTAGAACGGCTAGACACTTAAATAAAGATTTTTAAAAAAAACAGGAATAAAATAAACTGTGTTTTAGTGGCCTTTTTACAGCGCAACATGTCAAAGTGTGACCACATCACATACTTCTATGCACTGGTTCTGTGCTGTGCAACTGACACATTTGAATGCAAAGCTGGCTGGTTGTTTACCAAATAAGATGTGCAAACACTTGTTTAACAGGAAAAAGCCYTTGCATGTGGGCATACTTTTGCGCGTTGCACTCTAATGGCCATTATAACCTTACCTGAAGGCATTATTTCAAGAGGAGGCACATGGCACTGCATGTGGTAGCCTTTATCACAAGCATCACAGAACAGTAAACTACCCTGRAATATGACAACAGCCAGTCAGTTCAGTCAATGTAGTGTACACAGTCCTTTGAAAAAACGTAGTCGGTGACCGGCTTCAAGACCTTGTGACTAGACCGAAAAAAGTATCGGTAGAAATCACTGAAGAGGTTAGCTACACATATCATTAGCCATGTCTTAAGATCGCAGTGTTTCCATTTTGTTAGCCATGCCTCTAGCAAAACCCCTCTAGCATATAGCGAAGATCTTCGCTGGCAAGCAGTTTGGATGACAAAAGTCTTCAGCATGAAAACTGAAGAAGTAGCTATTCCCTTGTTTCCTTTTCGCAGAGACAAAAGCACACATTTATTTGAGCTGTACTCTCCATGATTATATTATAATATATAATATATCATAATATAATATTATAAATATTATAGCGCCAGCTAAAAATTTATCGCTTCAGTGATTTTTACCATTGCTCCCGTACTGGCTAGTCGCATAGTCGCAGAGCCGGTCAGTGACAACATTTTGTCAGAAGACTGTATATAGCTTTAATTCWGGAAAACATGAATAACTAAATAGCTAGAAAAACATAGGAATAAAGATCATGTAACAATCTGAAGTCACAGAAACCACAAATAAACCACACTGTACATCACTACACAACATATATTTTATGATGAAAAAGACAACACAATAGCTCTATAAAGATAACTGAAAGAAGAAGGGAAAAAGGACATCTTTGGGTCTTGCACACAAAGAAGAGTTGCCAAGGATACCAGTTAGAGATGTAAGTATGTGCACTATAACGGGAGCAATAGATTAATGCTTAGCGTACGACTTCCTGACTAGGAAACAATATATATGCTAATCAAATAAATGGCACCATTTTAACTACTGAACTCAAGTTARGAACTTGAAAAAAAACATTTGTTACTTAACTACCCTAAAAAYATCATAGTAATTATTGTTGTATTACTTACAGGGTCTCCACTATCATTGCATATTACACAGGTCTTGCAGTCAATACACTGCCAGGAGGTGGCATCGTCTCTAATTCTGGCTGAAAGTTCAGTTGAGTAATTCATGCAAGTCGGATGTGCTGTTTATGTAACAAATAAGAATCATTTAGTGTTTGCATGCATCTAAAAACAACATAGCCTTCCCTGTCTCACAACATCACTTTAAAATGCCAATGAGCCCTTTGACAATACATTCAGTACTGGTTCTGCATAAAGTAAATAGTTGATTGGTAAAATATTTCTTGATTTGAGTGATGCGT